AGGATGAGGAGAGAAGAGAGGAATGCGTAAAAGACGCAGTGCCAGCTGTAACGCGCAGCAGCGGGTCCTGCGCACCGCAGCCACTGTTAAAAAAATAAATATTTAAGCACTGCACAAGAAAATGAATCTGATTTATGCAGAATGTGATGGAAACCATGTAAAAAATATAAACAAAATAGCAGCAAAATAGTAACTGGAAAATGGATGAGGTCAGTGAAAGATCATTCTCAGAGAGAAAATCTCCAAACCTTTTTTTTTCCCTGAAGGAAAACGTGAAGCAACACGGTCTGTAAGAGATTCACGCAAGAAACCTATAGAAATCTGCCTCAGTCTGTGGACAGACAGATAAACGCACAGATCATCTAGACTGGATTTGTTATTTTTTTTTTCATTATGATAAGATAAAAAAATGTTAAACTTTAAATATCTTTAACTAAAAGTTTTTACTGATATTTTTAAAAAAATATTTAATAAAATAAAATGTAATTTCTTTCTTAAAAACTTTTAAAAAACATTGTTGTGCAAAAACTGCCTAAGCAGAGAAGAATGAATGCAGACCATAAAAATACGAAACACCTTATTTGCTTTGAAACAGGCAGCTGTCTTTTTAACCCCAATTAAATAGAAAGACGTTAATACAAATCTCATTTATGTAGGCCAAATTRATGAAACATAATTTCTGTTAAACCATACAGCTATTACAAATTCTGACAACATGAACTGATCTATTGCTTTCAGTGTGAATAAAACAAATGCTTTATTTGCTTTTTGAACTGAAAAGACTGCCAGTCAACATCCAATTACTTTAACTGTTTCCAAAACATTTTTAAAACCATTGTAAGATCCTGAAAGCTGGCTGCTGATTTATAGTTTATGTTTGCCTATAATTTTTAAAAATATACTAACTGGTAATCCTTTTCCTCTTCTCCTTCTCTTTTCTTATAGACACCATCTTTGAGAGAGGTGGGAAGTCTGGCCTTGACTCCTCAGTTCTTCACCTTCACCTTTCATCATTCATTCTACCATGGACAAACTGGACCTAATAAAATTTTACTTTATGATGGGCCTTGCCTATAAGGACATACTTTATATTCTGAGTACAAAACATCAGATCATTCTCAGCTTGAGAACCCTAAAACGAAATTTGAAAAAGAATGGACTATTTCGCAGAATCCATTTTGACAGTTTAGAGGAAACTGTTGTGTTTATTAAAGAGCAGCTCCAAGGTTCAGGCGCTTTGCATGGCTACAGGTGGATGTATGCTAAATGTAAAGAAAATGGCTTGCACATCAGAAAAGAAGATGTACGCTTAATTCTTTCAACTCTTGACCCAGAGGGCTCAGAAGCACGAAGAAGTAGAAGACTGCATAGACGAGCCTATTTTGCACAAGGGCCAAATTTTGTATGGCATGCTGATTCATATGACAAACTGAAACCCTTTGGTATATGCATCAATGGAGCCATTGATGGATTTTCAAGGAGAGTACTGTGGCTGAATGCATATCATACCAGCAGTGACCCCAAAGTTATTGGAGGTTATTTCCTTGAGACTGTAAGGGAGTTAGGTGGAAGTGCTCGTATCCTGAGGACAGATATGGGTACAGAAAACAGCTCTATAAGAGATCTGCAACGTTACCTTCGTCGCAACAATGATGATGCTAATGCTGGCGACAAAAGCTTTATTTATGGAAGAAGCACAGCCAATCAGAGGATTGAGAGTTGGTGGGGCTTTCTCCGCAAAGAGTGCGTGAACTTTTGGCTTGACCATTTTTACAGACTAAAAAATGAGGGGGATTTTGTTGGAGACWTTTTGGACAAGAACCTCATGTTGTTCTGCTTCCTTGGTTTGATACAAGTAAGTGGCAAAAACTTGACTGAACTATGTAAAGTATATGGTTAGTGCAGATAACTATCACTTTGAAATATGTTGCATTGAAAATACACCATCCTGCAGTGTAAGCTATCAATTAAAGACCCCATTCGGCAGAAAAACAACAGTTTTCATTCCACAGGGAACACCAAGAGTCATCAGTTTTCTGCCTGTTACAACGTAACAAGGCTTTTCTTGAAAACAAAAATATAAGAAAGAGATTACAATTGAGCTCTTGTTTTGACAGACTAATCAGTTCTAAGGCAAATTAACTAACATAAAGCGATAAGACTAACAAGCTTACATAAAAACACATTTGGGGTGTGTGTGTGCTTTACCTACATTAGGCTACCTTTTTATTTTATTTGAAAGTCAAAAAAATCTCATGACTGGCAAAGTTACAGTAGTACAACATGTCAAAAATAATTGAGATTGCTTAATGATGAACCAATGTGAAAATATTCTACTATAGAAATTGAAATACTGAGGAGGACAGAAAAAATGTCATGTTACCGCTATTGCATGACTTACTTATCAATGAATTCCAATATTTCTATATTCATTTTTTTGTCGTCTCTGCAGGATGAGCTGGATTCCACCAAGGAATCATGGAACAATCATGTGATACGTCCATCCACTAATGAACATGTCCCTTATGGCTGTCCTAACGCAATGTACTTGATTCCTGAACTTTATCAGACCAAAGACCATTTGTGCCAAGTTTCAGAGGAAGATCTTACTAGTTGTGAAGAGGACTGCATCCACYGCAGTGACATTGCTTGCGACAATGATGTGTTTACCCTCTGCACTCACATCATGGCACAACACAGTCTCCGTGTTCCTGTTGATGTGTACATGGCCATTGACCTCTACCTTTTCTTAAGAGGAGAACTGACAACACTTTTAAACCTTGACAGATGATGGAAAATGCATATCCTTTCTGTTGGAAACAATACAAGATGTACTGTTTAGGGATTTTGCTCTCATGCCCCAGGTTTTTCACTTAAGTCTTAAGGGGTGAACATAGTTCTAGAAGCACTTTCATCAACATCTGTTAAGTGTTTTAATAAATTGTGACAAAAATTGATGTGTTCCAGCAAAAAAAGTAGCCTATTTCTATGTA